TTCTGCTACGGCGCTGAGACCCCCTGCCGTTGCAAGGGCGACGGGCGGCAGCCCGTTCAGCTTCGACGCACATATGCAAGGTGACGGGCGACGGCCCGAGACAGGTGTGATGAGCAGATGCGGGGTGACGGGCGGCAGCCCGACATAAGGTGTTGAGCAGATGCGGGGCGACGGGCGTCAGCCCAAAGAGAAGCGCCGCGCAGATGCAGGGCGACGGGCGGCAGCCCGAAGAGAAACGCCGCGCAGATGCGGGGCGATGGGCGTCAGCCCGAGGAAAAGCGCCACGCAGATGCGGATCGACGGGTGGCAGCCCAAAAAGAAGAGATGCGCAGATGCGGGGCGACGGGCGGCAGCCCGAAGAGAGGAGCCGCGCAGATGCGGGGTGACGGGCGGCAGCCCGAAGAGAAGAGTCGTGCAGATGTGGGCCGACGGGCGGCAGCCCGAAGAGAATTGCCGCGTAGATGCGAGGCGACGGGCGTCAGCCCGAAGAGAAGAGTCGCGCAGATGCGAGGCGATGGGCGTCAGCCCAAAGAGAAGCGCCGCGCAGAGTTGAGGCGGCTAGAAAAGCTGTGCGTCGCAAGATGCAAATGCTAAGCTCCAACGGAGCGAGAGGATCAAGACCCGCTTAGGCGGAAACGAGCTCTGATACCATGTAAGAAAACGGGACTTTGATTGATTAAAATGAGAGAGGGCATACAAGCTTAAGTACTAACCATGGGAGAGGATTGGAAGGGATAAGGGGAATCGGAGGGAATCCCAAGGGAATCCTTCCATATCGTGGGGATTTGGGATGGATTGGGTTGGGATAGGTTGGGGATAAAAAAGCTACACCTAACCTAACAAACATTCCTAACCCTAAACAAACAAATGACTAACACACAAATGTGCAACATTGCAGCCTAACTCTAACAGTTATGGGTTCACAGTGTCTGTTACAGCCCAAATTCATTTTGCATTTTACATAAGACATGGCCTTTATATTTTTCCATCCTACTGTTAACACCCATTCATTTCTTTAAATGAAATTTTTACAGTACCTTAGGGTGTTATATACGGGGGAATACGGTAGGATCACAATCAATAATGTTTCTGATCCTGCCGGTTTACAACCAGCAGATCAACAAACACGTAATATGGTCGCAAGTGAGTTTCGCATGCGAACCAGGATTTTTCGCACGACCCTACGTGTCCACTGCCAACTTATAGATATGATTTCTATATAGAAGTTATAGGCTAGATAGGTTTGTGTTCCTAGAGGGTACAATACGAACCCTATATGCCCCATGTATCTTTATGTCCTAGTCACTTTGCTACTCTGAGATGGTATCATGCTAGGTAGGTCTCACCCACCCATGCTTCCACCCTAGCCTACCCTGGCTCGTACCTCCATGATCCATGCCAGTGCACCCCATTTTCTGTGGCCGTTCGTAGTTCGCTACACCGCTCACCAGCTCAACCTGTGGTCGCGCTCCCAGCAGCTGCAGGTTTCGCCGACCCTCCTCTGGAACGGGTTCCCTGGTGACGCGTCTGCGTTTCACGTATGGGGCTACCTAGCTCACGTCCGCGAATCTCGCGCGAACAAGCTCACTTCCCGCACCGTTCCTTGTGTCTTCCTTGGTTTCCCCATTGACGCATCGGACTGGCACTTTTACCACCCGCTGTCTCACCGGTTCTTTCACTCGCGTGACGTCGCCTTTGACGAGTCTGTCTCCTTATAGACCGCTTTTCCCACCGAGGTCTCCCAGATACCCCACCACTGTTCCTTGCTCCCACTCCCCCGGTAGCTCCTACTTCCCGTCCTGCCCCGTCTGGCGTGTCGCACGTCACTCCACTTCCCTCGGTTGGCCCAGCGGAGGAGTCTGCTGACTCTGGGGGCCCTGAGGCTCTGTGTCCGCCACTTGTCTTTGCGGCGCCTGCACTCTCGGCCCCGGTGTCTCCTCCTCCGCCACAGCAGCAGCAGTCGCCGCCGCAGCCGCAGCCGCAGCTGCAGTCGTCGCTGCCGCCGCCGCAGCAGCAGGGGTCAGTTGGCTCTGGGGGTGTTGGCGCTTTGGGTGTTGGTTCTAAGGGGGGTGCTGGTTCTGGGGGCGCTAGTACTGGGGGTGCTATCCTGGCGAGTCCCGGCGGTCCTTGGGGTGGCGGGGGTGCTGGAGAGGGTTCTAGTTCTGGGGGTGCTAGTCTTGGGGTGCTGGTCCTGGGGGCGCTGTCGTGGCGAGTACTGGGGGTAGCCATGGTATGGTTTGGAGGTCCTCGTGTGGGCGCGGAACAGCAGCAGCAGCAGCAGTCACCGCCAGTTTCCGCCCTTCGCCTCCTCGGTCTTCCCTCCCCTGACCGACCGCCCGCGCCTCCTCCAGCGCCGCCTCCTCCCCCTATCTACGGCCCTGTGTTCCCTCCGCCGGACTCGTCCCCGGCTCGTTTCCCCCCTCGTTCTCCTCCTGTGTCTCCTCCGTTGTCTCCTGATCCTATGCCCCTCTCTCGTTGGTGGTCTCACCGCCCCTCTCGTGATTGTCCCGTCGCTCCCGCTCCAAGTGTTCACCCTATGTCTCTACGTTCTGACGCGTCTCGTGCTCCTACCCCTCCTCTTCTCCTGTCGCCTCCTCTGTTGTCTCTCGCTGTCCCCGCGCCTCCTTTTCTTACTACCTCCATGTTGCTCGCCCTCTTGTTCCTTGTGTCCTCGCCACTCTTGTTACCGACCTGTCCGTTCCTGTCTCCAGTCTCGATGCTCTTCTTGCTGCCGTCGCTGACTTTGCCTCTACCCACCGCCTTGAGTATGTTACTGCTCCGGTCTCTGACCCTGCCTGTCCTCAGTTCGTTGGGGGTGCACCTGCCCTTGGCAGTTACGTCCTAGAGGATAGGCAGTACGAGCTAGCTTTCCTGTTCGAGGCCGCTCCTCATCTCTACTCCATGCTGCTAGCCCCTGAAGAAGACCCAGACGCTCTTGACATCCTAACCCCTCGCACCTATGCAGAGATGGCATCTTTGAGATCCACTGGCACGTACGTCGACGTAGTTCCCCCGCCTGGGTCAAACGTTGTCGATGGCCAACGGCTCTTCAATGTGATTTACCTCCTAGAGAGCCGACGGTGTTCAAGGCGCGCTACGTTGCTAGAGGCTTCTGTCAGCGCGAGGGCGTTGACTTCTTTCAGACCTATCACTCCGACCCCGAAGATGACCACTCTTCAGGCGTTGCTTTACGTAGCAACACAGCGCGACTACGAGCTTCACTCGCAGAACTTCTCCACTGCGTTCCCCCAGGGCACTCTGCACGAGAAGATCTACCTGCGTCGTCCACCATGCTTCTCTAGCTCATTCCCTCCTAGGACCTAGTGGTTCCTCCGGCGCCAGGTTTACGGCCTGCGACAGGCGCCCCCAGAGTGGCACGACAGGCCACGTGCTACACTAGCAGACCTTCAGTTCTTTCCATCCTTTGCTGACCTGTCGCTCTTCATTCGCTCAAGCCAGACTCCGTTCTATATCCTAGTATCCGTAGATGACCTGGTCTTCGCTACTGCAGACTGAGACGCGCTGGCCTCAGTGAAGGCCGAGCTGCTGAGGAGACACACCTGCATTGACCTAGGAGAGTTGCGATGCTACCTTGGGCTGCAGATCTCCTGGGACAGAACAGCGCGCCCCATCACTCTCATACAATCACACTGGGTGCGCCACGTCATTCAGAGGTTCGGCCTTCAGTTCTCCTCCGCACAGCCCGCTCCTATGCCAGTCGACCATAGGCTCTCGACTCCAGTCCCTGACGAGCCCGTCGAGCACGTCAGTACGCAGAGCTTGTGGGCTGCCTCGTGTACCTAATGACTTCCACTCGTCCAGATCTCGCATACCCTCTTAGTATCCTCGCTCGCTTTGTTGCGACAGGCAGACACCGATCCCAGCACTAGTCAGCCGCTAAGAGGGTGTTGCGTTATCTAGCAAGTATATCAGGCATGGGGCTAGTGCTGGGAGGACGCAGGCCAGTAGTTCTTATCGGACACACAAACGCTTCATGAGCGGACGACGCTGAGACGCCAAGGTCCTCCCAGGGCTACTTCTTTAGCCTTGGTGCAGGTGCTATCTCGAGGAGGTCCACCCGCTCGTCGTCTGTTGCATAGTCTCCAGCAGTGAGGCTGAGATCTACGCTGGTGCCATGGCAGCACAGGAGCTCCGTTGGCTGACGTTCCTGTTCACTGACTTAGGTGAGAGGCCTAGCTCTGCCTCTGTCCTGTATGCTGACAACAGGGTCATGATCCTCCTGTGTCAGGAGCCTCGACTAGAGGGCAGAGCGAAGCAGACCTAGCTGCGGTACTTCCTACTGCGTGAGCTACAGCAGCGCGGCCAGGCACGCGTAGTACACTTAGCCTCCGGTGCCAACACAGCTGATAACTTTACCAAGGCGCTTGCGCCTAAAGATGATCAGCGGCACTACTTACAGCTTGGCCTTGTTCCAGTTGCTCCTCAGTTACCAGGACCCTAACTTGTGTACAACACCTATTATCTTGGCTGGCCTTGTGGCACTTGTCTTAGTGGTAGGACTAGTAGTGCCGCCCTGACTTAGTGTTGTTTTGTTTGTACTCTTGCTGACTGGTCTTAAGACCTCTGCCCTAGAGGTTGGACTAGTAGTGTAGCCCTGAGCTGCGTATTTCTTGCTAGGCGCTGCCCCTTATCTAGCCTAGGGGGGTGTGTCAACTTATACAAATGCTAGATATGTTTGTGTTCGTAGAGGATACAACACCGACCCTATATGTCCCATGTATGTCCATGTCCTAGTCACTTCGCTACTCTAAGATTACACACCGCACATCCAATCAGGAGCCACTGAATTCAAGGTTTTTGCGAAGCCAGCAAAAGCTCAAGCAAAAATCGATTTTGCGCCCGTCGGATCGCATGCCTCCTGTGGAATTTTCGTTTTGTTTAGTTCTGCTTTGCTGCACATCGTGCGTCGGCACGCTTGTGCCATGCAGCCCCTGGTTGGTACTCGTTTGGGGCTGTCCCGTCAGGGTTCCCGATAGCAGACGAAATCCGTCTGATGGTCTGAAAATCAGACCCGTTTTTTGCTGTTCATCTAATTTTTGGACGGGGTCTAATATTTCGTCTGAACGTCCATACTTGTTATAAAATTTCGTCTGAATTCACAGACTTCAGTCTAGCGGTTCATCTGAGATTTCAGATAGCGAGGATATTCTCGTCTGACAGCGACAATTCCACCCACCAAACCCATTGATCCCAGGTGCAGGTTGGTAACGGCCAAGTTACTCACACCAGAGACATTCCTCCCCAAACACCCCTCGCAACTTGTTGTTTTCCGCTCAGTCCCGCACACTAGATACAATCCTCCCCCAACGCCCCTCGCAACTTGTTGTTTTCGTCTAAGTCCCGCACACTAGATATTCCAGCTTAGTCCCCTACACCAGATATATTCCTCCTTACGCCGCTCCCAACCTGATTCCCGATGTCCCCCACTGCCAGGTACACTCCTTCCACACCCCAAAAAAAAAGCCTGAAGTTCCTCCCTCACCCAATCGCATTCCTGGGTTTTTTTTGCGATGGGCAAGATCGGGATTAGCCGGTTTTTTTTGCGATGGGCAAGATCGGGCTAGCGAAGAACGGATGACGCTCAAACACCCTGTCTGCTCACATATCAGTCCCTCAATCAGCTAACCCTGAGTGTGCGTGTGAGTTTCGTCTGAAAGTTCAGACATCGGTGTACATTTCGTCTGAAACCTAAGACCTGAGAAATGTGCTCATATGATGGTCAGACGAAATTTTGAAACCCCGTCTGATTTTCAGACGGGCTTAAAACTTAGCAAGAACCATGTGTCCCGTATGTGTGTGAAGGGGCAGCCAATCAGGCGTCCCTGTGCAACGCTGAGGTGATTACCCTCGTTTCTGAACTTGGCGTAATAGACCGCGCAAAGGGATCAAGAATGGATTTCGCATTGCTGATTCTGATCCTAGTTCATAGGAATTCGCCCCTACACTGTTCTCTATCTATCTACCGCACTGAGAAACCAACCTGCCACCCTGCTAGAGAACTCCAGCCCAGCTTCGTCTTTCGACACACTGACCAACCAGCCAGCCAGGCAACCAACGCACGCTTTCGCCCGTCATGTCACACGTTGCGGCGTTGCAATGAAAAGCAATAAAAAGAATGCACGGCCAAATGACGTGGAACACAGTCAAGAACAAGCCAAGCATGCATGCCGGCCCATCACAGTCACCAACCAAGCACGCCTGCCGGCGCGTCACAGTCACCGGACGATATTGCTTACAAGAGACCAAAGGCTCTGCCAGGCCAGGAATGAGCATGCATGGAAGGGTGGGTGGGTGAGGGGGTGGGTGAGGGGGTGGGTGAGGGGGTGGGTGAGGGGTTGGGTGGGAAGAAAAGAGAACAGGGAGGTTTGAGACATCGCGAAAGGTTCCTCCTTAGCATCACATGACAATATCGCTCACGAAAGACTCGGGCTGTGTCACAACAAGGTCAACACAGGTGGATGGGTGGTTGGTTGAGTAGGTGGGTGGATGGGTGGTTGAGTAGGTGGGTGGGTGGGTGAGTGAGTGGGTGAGACGGAAGAAGGGAGGAGCATGGGTGGGGAGTCGAGGACGATGAGGAGCAGTAGGGAAGGGAAACAGGCATGCAGGTGGGGAGGGCGAAAGACTGGGGAAGCGAGCATGGCACGGGCCAGAACAGAAAAGAACAGACCACGTGATTAGTGAGTAGGGAGTCTGCTTTGGAGTCGACTCAAAAGCAGGCGAGGGGCACAGTGAAAGGGCTGGTGCTGGGTGGGTGTGTGCGCGTGTACATGGGTGTGTGCGGGTGTACGTGGCTGTGTGCGGGTGTACGTGGGTGTGTGCGGGTGTACGTGGGTGTGTGCACGTGTACGTGGGTGGGTGGGGGTGGAGGAGGGTGGGAGAAATATATTGTGCAGATCGATAGATCCGGACATTAGTGAAGGTTCTAAAACGACAGAGCCAAGGGAGAACGGTTACACAGCGGTGACTTGGGGGAAGAGGGGGCGGTGGGAGGGCTTTTGAGGCGCCTCAAAAGGGGGCAGTGGGAGGGAGTAAAGAGAGGGAGGGGACGCGGATAGCAGTGAGAGTCTGTGTGCTTTCCTTGCAATGTTTGACCGCGCTAGGTTATTGAGAATTCTCCAAAACCTAGCACAGCGTGTGCGTGCGTACCTTCTTCTTCTCCTTCTCCACCCGTGCTGCCATCTTGGGGTTGGGCTGCGGCCACCGGATGTTGTCGTACTCGCCTGCCTGCCCCGCGGTCCAACGCTCCCTGCTGCTGCTGCTGCCCTCTGCTGCTGCTACATCAACAGCACCAGCACCAGCAGAAGCAGCAGAATCATCACCATCAACACTGTAATGATCATAACTATCCGCAGCAGCAGCAGCGGCCGCTGCGGCAGCGGTGGCAGCAGCAAGGGAACCATCACCGTTGCACAGCGCCTGCTGCTGCTGCTGCTGCTGCTGCTGCTGCTGCTGCTGCTGCTGCTGCTCTTCTCCTCCCCCTCCACCCTCAACCTGCTGGCACTCCAACCCCACTGCATAATAGTCGAAGCTGTCAAACTCACCGTCCATACCAGCACCAGCACAACCAAAACCGCCGTCGCTGTTACTACCATGATCATCAGCAGCACCACAACCACCACCAACACCACCACCACCCCCGCCAGCAGCAGCATCCCCACCGTCATTACCACAGCCATCGTCTCGCGTCAAGAATCGTGCGTCTTGGCTTTCCTTTTCATACACCGGAACCCATCGGCCTCCTCGCTCCTCACTCCCATCTCCCTCTCCCTCACCCTCTCCCTCACCCTCTCCCTCACCCTCTCCTTCGCCCTCTCCCTCACCCTCTCCTCCCTCTCCTCTCTCCCCTCCCTCATGTTCACCTCGTACACTCGCACCAATGTAGTTCTCCTGCCCATCACCGGCAACACCTCCTCTCCCCGCCTGGCTACCTCTTCCCTCTACACTCGCCTCCTCTTTCCCACTGTAGTAGTCATTGCTCCCTGCACCACCACCACCATAATCATCATCATCATCGTAATAACCTCGGCTGTTCCGCACGATGGGGACGTAAGCAGCACTGCTGCTGCTGCTGCTGCCGTGCTTGCTTCCGCCATCCAACCTCCACCTCCTCGCTCCTCCCTCCTCCTTTCCTCCTCCCTCCTCTCCTCCTCCTCCTCCTCCTCCCTGCCCTACGCTCCTCTTCTCCTGCCAATCACCCCCGTCCAGCACCAGCTCCTCTTGTCTAATGCCGCCCTGCTCCCTGGACACCTCCCCCTCTCCCTCCTCCTCCTTAACCCCTCTCCTCTCCTCCACGCTTCCCTCCCCCACCCCCTCCTCCTCTGTAATCGCCAGTACTTCGCTTAGGTCAGTCCCGTCTAGACCAAAGCTACTATGACTGCCCCCACTACCACCGGTGCCAGAGTCCTTGCTCTCCCCCCCACTTCCCCGACTCCTCTGCCTGTTGCCCACTGCTCGCCCAAAGCTCCCCTGTCTTGTCCGTCCCTTGGTGAAAATCCCCGGCCTGCTGCTGCTGCTGCTGCCGCTTCGTGTGTTACTGACAGGGTTCGCACTGGTGCTTCCGTTTTCACTAGTAACAGTGGCAGCAGAAAAAGTATCTGCGGCAGCAGCAGCTGTATCAGCAGTACCCGCAGCAGCAGCAGCAGCAGCAGCAGCCGTAGCAGTATCAGAAGCAGCAGCAGAAATAGTGTTGGCAGAAGGGGAGGTGGTAGTACCAGCACTAGCCGCATCAATAACACTCGAACTATCACCAGCACCAACACAAACACCAACATTAGCACTGGCAGTAGCACTGGCAGTAGCAGCGGCATTAACAGGCGGACAGGAATAGGCGGTAGCATAGGCACTGGCAGCGACGCAGCTGTCCTGGTCATAAGTACTCTGTACTGCTGCTGCTGCTGTGTCTCTCTCTCCCTCCCGCTCAACCATTGCTGCTCCAGACGCCAGTGCTTCGACTGACTCTGCCTCTGCCTCTGCCTCTACCTGTGTCTGTGTTAGTCCCTGCTCCTGCTCCTTTCCCACCTCTGCAGCCATTTCCCCCCCACCCGCTGCAGCTGCTGCAGCAGCAGTAGGAACAGAAGCAGGGTCAGTGCCTGCAACAGCAGCAGCAGCAGCAGCAGCAGCAGTAGCAGAAGAAGCAGATGTGGCAGTGCCACCAGCACCACCGTCAATTCGCCCACCAAGCATACCAGCAGCAGCAGCAGCAGCAGCAGCAGCAGCAGCAGCAGTACTGCCACCACCATCCACGCTCACTCCATGCATCAGCAAAGACCCCTGCGCACTACAGAACGACCGCACAGCCAACAACCTCTCACCATGCCCTGCTGCTCCCACCGCCCCCCCTACCCCCCCCTTCCCCCCCTCGCCCGCCCTTCCCTGCTCCCCACTCTCCCCGGGAAACCGCCGCACCCGCCACTCCCCAAACCCGCCCCCCTCTTCCCTCCCCCCACCAATCACTCTCGCCCCTCCGACCCCCCCCAAAATTCCACCCCCCCCAACCGTCAGACCCCCCCCGAAATTCCCCTGAGGGCGTTCCTGCACCCCTTGCTGTAACAACACCCTCCTCACACTAGTATCCGGCAAGCTCGCAGCTGGGCTCGCACTCCCCCTCACCCTCTCCCACTCCCCTTCGCCCCCCCTCACCCACACCCCTTCCCCGCCTCTCTCCCTCTCTCCCCTCGCTCGATCAGCGGACGAACTCCTAACAGCCGACCGATCGGCCGAGGCACTGCGGGCTACTAGCATGTGCTGGTGGGAGCGCCTAGCAGAGCTAGGTCTCCTTCCTAGCCCAGAGGAATGGGCAGGGGAGGCTGTAGGGATAAGGCTCTGGTGGGGAGGGATGGAGTATGGTGGGTTGTGTTGAGAGGTCAAAGACTCGAAGGTGGCGTTGGAGGAGTAGGAGGGGGAGGGGGAGGACGAGGCTGTGGGGATAATGCTTTGGTAAGGTGGGGTGGAGTACGGTGGGTTGTGAGGAGTCAAAGAGTCGAACGTTGACTCAGGGGAATGGGCGCGGGAGGGGGAGGCCGTGGTTGTGGGGATTATGCTACAGTGGGGCAGGGTGGGGTGTGGTGGGTTGGTAGGGGGCGAGGAGGGGTTGCTTTGAGGAGACTCAGTAACTCCAGGGATCATCTGGCTCAGCTGCTGCTGCTGCTGCTGCTGCTGCTGCGGCTGGTAGTGGTGTTGGAGCAGGGTGCGGGAGGAGAGGGAGGGGGAGAGTGAGCGGTGCATAAGGGAGGGCGAGGAAACAGGGCGACGGGAGAACGACGGAGACGCACTGTAACGCCTCTGGCCCTGCTGCTGCTGCTGCTGCTGCTGCTGCTGCTGCTGCTGCTGCTGCTGCTGCTCCTGGTGCCCTTCCTTCTGCCCCTGCTCCTTCTGCCCCTGCTCCTGCTGCCCCTGCTGCTGCCCCCCCTGCCCCCGCTCTCTCTGCTGCCCCCCCTGCTGCTGCGAGTCTAGCAACGGATTGTGGGGGAGAAAAGACGGGGACGCGGAGGGAGGGGCGGATGGAAAGGGGGAGGGGCTCGGATAGGGGGAGGTTGAGCGCTGGGGAAATGGGTTGGGCTGGGGGGTCGCGGAGTGGTGGGGGGGGAAAGGGGAGAATTCAGGGGGGGAAGCAGCCTGGGGAGGAGGGGCAGGCGCAGGCTCGGGGGAGGGGTGATGGGGGGAGGGGTGGTGGTGGGGGGAGGAGGAAGTAGGTTCGTTGGAGGGGTGGGAGGAGGTAGTGAGACGGGTGGTGGAAGGGGGGAGAGTGGCGGTTGAAATCTCGTCGACTGGTAAATGATGCTTCCTCTGTTAATTGGGCCAGGAAAAAAAGGGGAGAGGGGGAGGGGGGAGGGGGGAGGGGGGGAGGGGGAGATGCGGGAGTGAGTGTGAGTGCGGGCGTGAATGCAATGTAGTGTGCATGTGTGTGATGGTGGTGGTGAGGGTGGAGGAGGTGGGGGGGAGAGGGGGGGGGAGAGGGGGGCATGCGCGTGCATTGTTCATGAGAGAGGGAGAGGGGCAGGCGAGAAGAGCGAGACTGGAAAGTGAGAAGACGTGAAGAAAACTTAGAAAAAGAGAGGCAGAGATGGGGAGAGGGAGCAAGGGAAGGGGGAAAGACACGGGGGGAGGGAGAGAGAGCACGAGATCGGCAGCAGCAGCAGCAGCAGCACCAGCAGCATAATCACCCGTACCTGTCCGAACCAAACCGTGCCTGCTCGCCCCGCACCTGCTGGAACTGCTGCGTGTACTTATACGTCTTTCTCACCACCACCACCACCAGTCATTGCTCCCAGTGATAGAGACAGAGCGAGAGAGAGCGAGAGAGAGCGAGAGAGAGCGAGACAGAGCGAGACAGAGCGCGACAGAGCGAGACAGAGCGCGACAGAGCGAGACAGAGCGCGACAGAGCGAGACAGAGCGCGACAGAGCGAGACAGAGCGAGACAGAGCGAGACAGAGCGCAGAGCGAGACAGAGCACGACAGAGCGAGACAGAGCGCGACAGAGCGAGACAGAGCGAGACTCACATCACACCAAGACCTGCCCAACCCGACCAAACCAACCCGTACCTGTCCAAACCGCGCCTGCTCGCCGCGTTGCTGGAACTGCTGCGTGTACTTATACGTCCTCCTCACCACCACCACGTCATTGCTCCCGGACCTTGGCCCCATGGACTGCGACCCGCGCGCGCCCCCCGCCGTCAGCCAGCTGAACTGCGGCGGCTGGCGGAACGCCGACGGGTGGTCGAAGGACGGCGGGGAGAGCGGCGGGCACCGGTGCGGCTGCTGCTGCTGCTGCTGCTGCTGCTGCTGCTGCTGCTGCTGGTGGTGCTGGTGGTGGTTGGTGGTGTTGGGGGGAGCGGAGGGGTGCGCCCACTCGTTGAACTCGGGCGTGGTAGAAGGAACGGTGGGCTGCCAGGGATGGGATGGGATGGGGATGGGGATGGGGATGGGCATGGGCATGGGCATGGGCATGGGCATGGGCATGGGCATGGGGATGGAAGGAGCTTTCACTCGGATCGATAGTTACTGAGAAGAGAGCAACGGTGAGGGAGGGAGAGGAAATTTGGAAAGGAGGGGGTGGGAAGGAAGTGGGAAGGAGGCGAGGGGAGATGGAGGTGGGAATGAGAGGAGGAGCTTTTGTGTGTGTTGCGTTTGCCTATTGAGCCTAGCCTAACTTGTAATGCAAAACCTCGAACTTCCAATCTTGTAACGGTTTTTCTCATTTCGGGTATGACCTGAATCAAACCAAACGGACCGAACCGAATTCGTTTCATCTCTAAACCACTCGTTATTGCACCCAGCAGCGGCTCGTTTCAAGCGCCTACTCCTCACCTCGTGGTTGAAACTGGGCAGCTTCGAAACTTTCGCTGCCCGGAGCTTCTTAACCGTGATCGCCTCCCGCCGACCCCCGCTGCGACTCCCCACGCCCGTAGTCGTCCCCGTCGACAGCGACTTGTGCGCGTGCCGCGGACCATCTTCCGCGCCTCCGCCTAGCGGAGCTTCCGCGGAAGCCGCCGCAGCGCCCGTGGGGGAAGCTCCCGCCGCCGGATCCGCAGCCGGCGCTCCCGCCGCGAAGGCGGCGGCGGCAGCGGCGGCGGCGGCAGACTCTAGGGCCGCATCGAGAGCTGTCTCTACGGCGGCGCTCCCACCGCCGCTGGCGGGAGGGCTTGCCTCGCCTGGCGCTCCGCCGCTCCCGCCATCGCCTTCCGCCTCGCCTGCGGATCCTGCACCCAATCCGCCGGCTCCGCCGCCCGCACCGTTCCCCCCACCTCCGCCTCCCCCTGCGCTGATAGCTCCCCCTAGGACAGAGTCCATCCGCTGCATCCGCTCCGGTAGGCTCAGCGTGCGCCTGCTTCCCCACGCGGGTGCGCGCGTGCCGCCCGCAAACCGACGGACGGAGAGCCGCGGTTGCGCGCTGCTTAGCGGAGCAATGCCGACGCCACCGCCAACGCTGATGCTATTTGTAGCGCCGCCGCCGCCGTCGCCGTCGCCGTCGCCGTCGCCGTCGCAGCTGCCGCCATTGCCGGCGTCCTCCTCCTCCTCTTGCGGAAGCGGCTGAAGCCGCGATTGCTTCTGCGACTGCGACTGCGACTGTGTCGTCAACTGCGACTCTGTCTGCGAGTGCTCCTGCACTTGCGCTAGTGATTCTATGTGTTGCTGCTGGCTATGCTGGTGCTGCAGATGGTGCAGTTGCGCGGGATAGGAAGCGCCGTGCGGAAACGGCGGAAGCGCGGAAGAGGCAGCGGTGCGCACCCCCGTTGTCGAGCTCGTGCTGCGGCTGCGCGGGTAAGCCGCCTGCGCAAAATGGCGCGGCTGCGCCACCTGCCCCTGCCCCTGCCCCTGCCCCTGCCCCTGCCCCTGCCCCTGCCCCTGCCCCTGCCCCTGCCCCTGCCCCTGCCCCTGCCCCTGCCCCTGCCGCTGCCGCTGCCCCTGCTCTTGCCCTTGCCCCCGCGCCGATGTGCGCCCGGCTCCGGAACCGTGCGCATACCCGCTATCGAGTGTCCCGCTTGTGTGAGAGCTATTCTGAAGCACCGCTGCCGCCATCGCCACACCGCGCGCCCACTCCTGCATGCTCGACATTGTCTCGCCGCCCTCTTGCGACGCCTGCGACGGCTGCCGGGAGGCGGCGACGACCGGCGGCGATGATTGCGGTCGCAAACCCGGCGTCGCATGGTCGCCTGCGTCTCGTTGCTGCGGACTCGTCGGGTCGCGTGAGAAGGAGAAAGAATTCTGGAGGGTACACTGCGCGTCGGACTCGTTAAAGCGGACTTTAGTCGATTGAGGGTTCTTCTCCACCCCTTTCACTGCACGCTGTGCTAGCGGCGCTATGTGCTCCGCATCCTCCATCTGTCCTAAGTTAAGATGATATTTATTCCGCGATTCGAGTTGAAACGATATAAGAGACCGCAAAAAAGAACCCTCCCGATTCGCGGCCGAGCCTTGTCACCCCGGAATTATTTAACAGTTAATTTACGAGAGTGCTCCGGCATATCCATGTGATCTGGATAAGTCTCGATGCTTACACCACGAGGGTGGACCTCCTTTTTTGACAACCGCATCTGCATACGGTATGGTCATTCAGGGGTAATGTAGATACAGAGCGCGCAAGGACGCAGTACGCGAATATAATCATCACGCACTATGAGGAGAGAAGGTAAGGGACTGGGTGGTGCCGCGCGCGACCCTAGCAAAAAACACCTCTGAATGGCTGTACACTTGAAGCCCGACACTGGAACACACTGTTTGCGAGTCGCGCTTGATGTATTTGGACAGGAACATCCATCAGGAAGGCTCCGATTGGAACTGACTTGAGCACGACGAATTGTGGACACCAGGTGTACTGTATGTGGCTAGGAGTGCGAGGTCCACCACCACCACACGGCACGGCAGGCCAGCCAGGCCAACGAGCGGGCAAACGGGCAAGGCAGGTCCAGGAGCAGCAGCGTAGAGCGGAGCGGCGCGGAGCAGAGTCTGCCTGGCAGAGCAGGGGAGAGCGGAGCAGAGTGGTGTGGGGTGGAAGGAACAAAGGAAGCAGGCAGGATGCCCACAGCCCACTTGACCGACAAAGAGGCAAACGAACTGCGAGGAAAGGCATGAAAGCTGACGACGGACGTGCAAGAAAGGCGAACGGAGTTCCTTTTTTTTCCAAGCAGGCTCTAAGCCCGATATATCACACGGAACGAGGTCACTCTATTATATATTGCCTTAAATACCCATTAATCAGGAACATAATAATGCTACGACGGCTGGAAAGTCACCACTTGAACAAATTTCCATTTTTTTTCTCTCTCTTCGACAGACCGACGTTGACAATCTCAAGGTTGGTTGGCCGATCGCTTCACATAGTCCACGGATGACCACAGGGACAGAGCGGAGGGATCTGGAGGCACGTCGCGTGTGTGGGCTACATAAACGAGGGCGAGGCACTGCCGAACCGACGGATAATCACGCCAAACCAGCTTGCGCCTTAGAGCGTGTCCAATGTTATTTTTGCGGATGACAGCGGACGACAGAACTGATGACAGAGGGCGCCAAGCCGGTTTGGCGAGTCCAAAGTGCTGTGCAGGGACCCTGGCTGAACGGATGACAAACAGATGACAGAACGGATGACAGGCTACAGTAAAAAAAAAAAACGGGAACAGCCCGGTCGGGCAGGATAACGGGACAGTGCACGCCAAAATCTACAGTAAATTTTGGCGCCACACGCACGAAGTCACGGGGTGCGAAATACAGCTTGGAGAAACTCACGAAACTCGCACATGAAGGTCTGAGGAAGGGCTTGCGTGACTCCTGTTTTGTGGTAATTGGTGGCGGAATGGGTTGGGGCAGGATGTTACAATCGTGTTTCGCCAATGTCACCCTAAACCCTGTTTCGAGGTTGACGAAAATGACGAGGAAGGGCCCGCTAAATCGTAACATTTTGAGGAAATAAGTTGAATTTCGAACTGTCTGCCCATAGCCGCCCGCAAACGGCACGTGTGACATTGTTACGGTGGGTGCTTCGACTGTTGGCGTCTGAAGTGCAATTCTGCAGTTCCTGTCATCCGCGGATGACAGACCTGTCATGCACAGATGACAGCCCTTTCATCCGCTGTTATCCGTTGGTTGACAGAACGGATGACAAATAGCACTTTGGACACGCTCTTAGGCAGCACCGAGCCTCAGGGGCTGACATATGTAGTCCCCAGGCAAGGCTCCAATTCCAGGCGAGGCGAATTTTCGTTACGGGTACAAGCCATGGCTAAATCTTTTGCCTTTCGTTACAGATGTACACAGAACCTATCTTGCACAGCTACGACATGTGCATGTATACGAAAACAATTTCCATAACGGCCAGGCTTAGACGCAACGTGTAAAACCACTGAGCACTAGCAGCAATATGATATCATATCATCCCCTACACATGCGTACATCCAAACACACCATTCTGGGTCAGAAACCGCTAGCTCAGCCATCCATCATGGCTTCTGCAACAGAATTAGGCCAAAAGAGGTCCTGATTCAAGCCTTGAGGGCGAACTTGCGCTGGGGGAAGTATTTGATCCTCCTGGCCTCCCTTGCTGTCGTGAGATCAAGCTGGACAAGAAGAAACGGGGTCGCACAATGAAACGCAAGACGGAGCAGAGGGTGAGCACAAATGACGTAACACCTAACCGACCGAGTCAAATGTCATGCATGCAAGCTCCTCATAACTGGCAACGAAAACAACCACATGAGCTCCAAGATTTTCCTCTCTGGCGAGGCACCGCCAACGGATCTTGCTTGCACCATCGTCAATCCCATCGCCCATCACACCTGCATCTGTTGGCTCATGCATTTTAAACCTCATGGTCCCCGGCTCGTACTCTCTCGCGCCCTCTCCCCCTAAAACCTCTCCCCTCCATCCCTCCCTCCTTCACTCCCTCCCACGTGTGCATCCATACACTCTCACAAACAGACTCGGAGATGCGCACGCCTGATCCCCGACGAAAGAACTGCACAACAACCTCACCTCACCCATACCATCCACCCATCCTTCCGCACTAACCACACAGTCAGTCACCCAACCAAGCGTCTAGCCCTCAGGCCCCCGCCCGCCGGCAACAGCAGTGGCGGCGGCGGCGGCAGCGGTGACGGCAGCGCCAGCGGCGGCGGCGGAACCGGCAGCGTACCTGTCTCTTGGTGAGCCGCTGGCGGATGGCGCGGGTCTTCTTGGGCCTTAGGTCGAGCGGCGCGTACTTCTTCTTGGCGAACGCGGCGCGCAGGTTCGACTTCTGCGTCTGGTTGATCACAGTCAGCACCTGCGCGATCGACTTGCGCACCACCTTGCTGCGGGGGGGAGGGGGAGGGGGGGACGCGCGGAGAGTCGGGGGGCGGGAGGGAGGAGGCGGATGGGGGAGTCAGACAGCGGAAAGAGGAGGCGCGGGGGTACAGGGGTGAAGGGGGGGGAGTGAGGTACGGAAGTGCGTTCAAAGCGCAAACATACATGCATCAAACACTTGGGAGCCCTGCTGTAGGGGCGGGATGAGCCAGGGGAGTGAGTGAGTGCGGAACGGGGGAGTGGGGAGTGGGGAGTCGAGATGGGTAGAGGGGGTACCGGAGGGATGCATTGGACAAGAGAAACATGGGAGTAAGGCGAGATAGAGGAGCAGCATAGGATTCAGCTTTGGCTTATCCACAACGAGAGCCCTGGCGTATGAAAGGAAGGGAGTGCTACACGGTTGAGGGGTTTGCAAGCATGAACACCACCAGGAAATCGCCCAACAAATCTAACAAGGCAGCCAATACGGCGAGGCCAACAAGGCACCTTCTTCGGTCTGACAATCTATCCAGTCTCATTCCGCCTCCCTCGCGCTCCCCTTCCCTCCCTCCGGTTTTGCTCCCTTCGCCCCGCCAAAGAAACGATCACACAGGCCCGCCGCCAGAAATTACTACTCACATCTTGGAGAGCTTGTTCGGGGCGCCGCCAGTGACCTTGGACACGCGCAGCGCTGCCAGCTCAGTCTTCAGCTCCTTCAGCTGCAGTCGCGGAAGAAAGGTAGAGGAGGGGAGAGGGGAGGGGGCGGCGGTTAAGTAGTTTAGCTTTGAGACGTCTCAAACGCAGCGCTACCAGCTCAGTCTTTAGCTCCTTCAGCTGCGCTCGAAGAAGGTAGAGGGGGAAGGGAGGGGGAGGGAGGAAGGAAGCGGAGAGGGTGGGAAGGAGAACGGGGAACGGCGGAGAGCAAAAAGGGGGAGAGGGGGGGGGGAGGAAGAGGGAAGGGAGTGGGGAGGGATGAGTGAGAGCGAACAGAGAACGACGATCGCGAAGTCGAAGCTTTAGTAAGTTGTTCATCGATGTACCGTGCCTTTTTCACGGGTGCCTTAGTCAACTCCCAAGAAACCTCGCCCCGTCCCTCTCTCCGCCTTCTTGCTCTACACCTGAGCTACCCTCCCATTTTCGCACCCTCTTCCCCCCTACCCTAGAACCCGCTCGATCTCCGCGCATCCGCATGCGCAACCGTGTGTTCCGCATCACCCGCCTGTCCGCCTCCCCCAAGTCCGTTTCCCCCTCCCCGACTCCGCCTCACCTGACTGCGCAGCCCCGTCTCACTCCGGTTCCTCACCCAACTCCCAACCTTTGCGCCGTTCCGCCACCCCCATTACCCCCCGAACCACCCCCCCTCAAATCCCAAATCGTCTCGGCCTTTTCCGCTCTCAACCCTCTCCGCGTGCCCCACCCAGTGCGCAGTCACCTGGCTGGCCAACAAGCCCCCTCTTCCCCTCCCCCCTCCTCAACCAACCCCACCCCAAAAAACGCTTTCCGCCCCCTCCGCCCTTTTCTCCGCATGCCCCGCCCCGTGCGCCGGCTCACCTGGTTGAGCAGCTCCGTCTTGCTCTTGCCGCGGAGCTCGTGCACCCGAAGCTTGGCTGAGACCGCCAAGACAGATCGACCGAGCGCGTGCGCCATGATTGGGGAAGAGGGAGTGGGAGGGGGGAAAAACAAAGAGGTAGAAAGAGGGGGAAGCGTAGGGGGGACATGGGCAGGGGAGGAGACAAGAATGGTGAGGCGGACAGAACGGCGCGGGCGAGCGGGGGGGGGAAATGGCGTACAGAGGACGAGAGTTATAGAGCAACGAACAACGACTACAGTCAAGTGGGTTCGTCTCAATTGCGACAGACTGACTCGTCCGACGCAAGGCGCAAGTCAAGAGCCAGATTTGCTTTTGAGTCGACTCAAACGCAAGGCGCAAGTCAAGAGCCGAATCTGGAATTATATTGCACAGCTATCACGGCTATATAGCGATGGTGCCGCCGGTTCGCTAGGCGGCATGACGGCTAGTTCTCGAACGACCCTAGACACTGCCGGAAGCCGAGAGGTCTCTAAAACGACGCGGACGTTCACCTACAGAGGGACCAATAGGTGCCATTGCTACACTTGCTATCGTATCTAGTACCCCCGGAACAGCGAGGAGAGGAAGCAAACAAGCAACCTACAGCCTCATATGACGAACAAGGCCGATAGCTGGCGCGCATAAACACAACCCTAAAAATGTCACGAAAGCAACCAGCCGAAACAAATGCTTCAAATATCCAACTCTATTACGCAGCTAGCCAAAACCCGCCACAGCGTCGCATCGTGCGCTGGCCGACTTGCTCTACAGCCGATCCGCGCTACTCGGGATCGCGCTACGGGTATAGGGTTCTTTTCACTTCCGCGCAAAGCGCGGCACTCGCGCGTTACGCTCGCGATCTACACAACTCATGAGGAAAGGGAATAAGGCGGCGCGTACCCATGAGGATGAATTGATGATACTACTGTAGCTAAGGCAGAGGCTCACGAAGAGGGTCTAGCACGGGGCCAGAGGGAAGAGCAGCAGGGAGAAGAGGAAAGCGGCGTAAAGCGAGAGAAGTATATGTAGGTCTGGGAACTGGTTAGAAGACAGAGGGCGAAACACCGAGGGCGACGAGGGCGAAGAGGGCGAAGAGGACGAGGGGAGGGGGGGAGCAGGGGGGATGTACGCGGAGGAGGAAGGAGGTTCGGGTGGAGGGGAAGGAGGGGAAGGCGGAGAATTCCGCGGGAAGGGGGAGAGCGTTGGGGAAAGGGGGAAGGGGGAAGGGAAGTGGGAGAGCGTTGAGCGTTGTGAGGCATTGAGGCCTTCGGGGGAGTCGGTGGATTACTATGCGGGGAGGACGGGCGGAGAAACGTTGGGGGGGAGCATATAGGGCTGTGAGAGTTGGGTGTGGAAGGGGAAAGGGATAAGTGGGAGGGGGGGTGAGGGGGTTTGGGGGGGAGGGGAAGAGGGGGAAGGCAGACACGTGACGGCGAAATTGACGATATTTCGAGAAAAGAAGTAACTCGTAAGGTTTGATTGTGGATATCCACCCAGACCGTGGCTTGGTTTTCGTCAAGAAGTGTTTTGCTTGCGCACAAACTGGAACCGACTGCGCAAGAACACCAAACCAAAACGCAGGTGTGTGAACATATTTTGTTAGTGATTGACATTGCAAAAAAAACATAGCAATCGTTGAGGATCTTATGGAATATTGTGCATAGAACATGCAACTTGGTGAAGTTTGTCAGATGGTGGCACGCAAAAGGCTAGTGGATGAAAGTATTTCTACATACTCATCCAATCCCAATAAACACGCACAATGCGGTGCATTGCGGAATTTAATGCACTCCAGTTCAGCAATTCACTTGCAGGTCCAGCTTCTAGGAATATGCACACAACAGGGGGGGCGTGAGCTTGGTAGCACCCTGAAAACATGCCTGGAATTGAGCCTAGATCGGAGAACAGTGTGTTCCTTGTTGATAGATACGAGAACTAGCAATGCCTGGGCTGAACACCGCCAACACAACTGAACTGAACATCTACCCTCCAATTAGTCTTGTTGGGCTGAGAAAAACCCTTTAGGATCTTTTGCAGAGATTAAGTCCCAGCTGTAAAGACTTGAGACTTGGAGTAGTGCAGCGGAAGTTGAGGCAGTTGAACCCTTGTACTAGTATGTGAGAACAAGTGATTGATTAAAGAAACAAGCATACAGCAATATATAGTAGATAAGAAAGCAGTTGTAGAATACAGTTACAGGAACGGTTTATCGAGTCGCACAGCGACTCGATTGCCGCTTCGGTTACCATCCGTGATGTTGTAACGGTCAGTCGCAACCTCCAGTTGCGACCTTTCGAGTCCTTTCGCATTCTTTGTCCGCCCCCTCGTGTAACCTCCGTTGACTCGCGTGCTCCCCTGTAATCTTCCTCGAGTACAGTGTTACACTTCAGAAACGCTTAAGTCCTTGAGATATTTCCAACACTCCCCTTCGTTTCTGGAGTGCTGGAGTGTTCAGATCCGGTGGCGTTTGTTTGCCCGGTTAGGAGCATGCAGTAGTCGAATTTTGCTTTCGCCAATTTCTTCGTCAGATAATCTGCGGCCATTTCTGTCGTCGGGCAGTAACTGAGTTGAAGTCTCCCCTTCGCGATTTCATCCTTGACGAAGAAGTACCGCAGGGCGATGTGCTTGGTTCGATTGGCGAAGCCGTCCTTGTTCGCGATTTTGATCGCAGATTGGTTGTCGCAGAGGAGTGAGAAGGCGGGCAGGGTCGCGATCTTCGCTTCTTCGAGTAACTCTCGTAGGTAGAGTCCTTCCTTGGTCGCAGTACAAAGGGCGATATACTCTGCTTCAGCCGAGGATAGTGCGATTAACTCCTGCTTGCTCGACTGCCAGGAGATAGTTCCGATAGGTTCTAGTCGGTAGATGTAGCCCGTCCTAGACCGTCGATTTTCGCTGTCTCCCGCGTGGTCGGCGTCGACGTATCCGAGTAGTCGTACGGACGGTGTTGTTGCCTTGCTGTAGGTAAGCCCGATCGTCGGCGTGGAGACGAAGTAGAGTAGCGCTCGATTGAGTTCTTCGAGATCTTCCTGTTGCGGATGCTTCAGATGTGTCGCCAGCTGACTCGCACTATAGGATAGGTCGGGTCGGCAGGTTACTGCTGCGAATAGTAGGCAGCCGAGCTTCTGTTGATACTCCTGGATTTGTTTCGCGGGGAGTTTTGTAGAGGCGCTACCGTTGTTCCCATAGCGGTAGGGAGTTGGGACCGCAGTCGGTGTTAGAGCGAATTTCTTCGCGACGGTGCTTGAGTACTTTCCAGCGTGTAGGTAGAACGCCGTGTCGTCTTCGACGATGTTCAGTCCTAGGTACTGCGTAACTTCGTCGGACACCGTGAGAGTTAAATCTTCTTTCAGCTCCCCTTCGAACCAGGTGGCGATGTCGGTAGTTGAGCCGATGTAGAGCAGGTCGTCGACGTAGACGATGAGCAGAATGTACTCTCTTCCCTTCTGCAGTCGGTACATCCTTGGTCATGCAGCAGCTGTAGGAAGCCGATTTTTACGAGACGGCCGTGAAGATGCTGCTGCCAGAGCCGCGGGGCTTGCTTGATCCCGTATAGGGATTTTGTCCAGCTGGCATACTTTTGAGGGGTCGTCGATGAATCCGTGGGGTTGTTCGACGAAGATTTCAGCGTCCACAGGTGCGTATAGAAGCGTTCGCAACGTCGATTTGGCGTAGTGGTAGTTTTTGTGGCCGCGATGGCGAGTAGGATGCGCAAGAGGTGTGACGGGAGACTGGAGCGAAGGTTTCTGTGTAGTCGGTTCCGTATCGTTGATCGAAGCCTCGTACGACCCATCGAGCTTTGAATCGTTCGATGGAGCCGTCTGAGTTGGTCTTGATGCGGTACACCCATTTCCCCGAGAGAATGTTCTTCCCGTTGATGCTCGTTGCAGGTACCAGTTTCCATGTTTCTCGGTCTTGCAGAGCTTTTAACTCTTTTCCATCGCTTCTTCCATTGTGCCTTATGTTCCCCCCCCAGAGCCTGCGACAGGGTCGACGGCTCGCGCGGAGAAGGCGGCGGCGGATGCTGGACGGAGACCCATAGCCTAGAATCTGGAGTCCCGTGGGTGTGTGTCGAGGGGAATTTTCATTCTCGGATAAGCTGCTTCATCACCGTCTTCGGGATCGGTAAGAAGTTGGGCCGATGCGTTCCGAAATATTCGAGTCGACGGGGTGTGGTGTAGCGTAGCCTTGGTCAGCGAAGTGGTAAAAGGTGTCGAGGTTGTTGCTATCGAGGGGATTATCTTCATCGAGTGGAACAGGTACGGAGCAGATAGGGAGTGGTCCGGCAGCCTCCGAGGCTCCAGGACGTCTTCTTCTGCTGCGTCAGCCTCGGCAGCATGGTCAGCGAAGGAGCGAAGGCCCGCGAAGCCGTCGGTGGGGTCGTCTGAGTTGGCAATGTTGTCCAGGTAATGCTGCAGCGTCAGTCGCTCGTAGAAGATAACATCACGTGATGCCACCGTATTTTTGTCGTGTATGTCGAGAATCTTCCACGCGTGAAAATGTTTGGCGATGCCGAGGTGTAGTCCCCACCGAGCTCGTTGAGTGAAGCGTCCTGCTCGAGCTGTGTGGGGTCTGTATTGTACCATGCAGCCGAAAACTCGAAGTAATTTTGTGCTGCCCCTTTTTCCCGTCCACAGCAGGTGTGGTGATGCGTTGTTGGGGAGCGATGACGAGGACAACAGGTTGTGCAGGTGGACTGCATGTGTCATCGCGTCTGGCCACAGTGCGTTGGGCAGCCTCATCCCCAGAAGCAGTTTTCGCATCGTCGTCTGCAAGGTCCGGTTCATGCGTTCTGCTACCCCCTGCTGCTGGTGAGCATAGGGCAGAGACACCAGGCGTCGGATTCCCCTTTCCGCGAGATAGGTCCTGAAGCGTTGTGACTGGTATTCCAGTGCACCGTCTGACTGGAAACTCTTGAGTTTGGTTCCTGACTCTCGTTCGGCGATTGGAAGCCATGTGGTGAAGGCCTCGAAGGCTTGATCGCGCGTTTTGAGATTGAAGTGCCAGACGTATCTGGTTGCGGCGTCGATGAACGTGATGACGTAGTTGAAGTCGGCTTCGGTGTCGTCTCGAGGCATGTTTAGAATATCGCTGTAGACCTTTTCCATCGGAGCGTAAGTGGGTGCGCTTGGATTGTGATGGGCTGGGAAAGGTTGATGAGGAAGATCTGCTTCGGGGCACGTGAAGCATCGTGCGCGTGGTCGTCGGAGTTCCTGGCCGCTCGTCGTCAGAAGGGCGTTGCGTTCTAACACTTCTGCTTGGATTGTTTGAAGTATCGTGCTGTTTGCAGGATGTCCGAGACGTTGGTGCCAGATGTCGTCGGGAGCGCGGTGACCGGGCGAGCGGTGGTAGATGTCGGCGTTGGAGAAGAACGCGACGACCGAGGCGGGACTTCGACAAGCTTCTCGTGTGGCGGGCATAAGTTGGTCTGCTTCGGTTGGCTGTCCTCGTGTCGCTGGTGGTGGTACTCGGCTGGGTCCTGCTGCCGATACTGCAGGTGATGGTTTTGTTGGGACGCTTGCTGGTACTTGTCTTTCTTGTCTGATAACTGCTAATGCCCGTGTTCTCTCTGCTGCAGGTATGGTGTTGGAGTGCCAGAAGCCGTCACTGTCGAAGTCGGGATCAAGATCTGGTGGGTGAGTCCAGGCGGCGAACGATACGATGCCATCGCTGTCGGCAGTTCCGCGGTCGGGGACGAAGTCCAACACGAAGACACCGGACTTCAGGAGGGCACGACCGATGAAGAGACCGCCCTTCCCGTGGTAAAGTCGGAACTCGTTGGAGAAGGAGTCGCACTCCAGGTGAATCCCCTTAGCCATTAGTTGGCTTACGCTTAATAGGTTGTATCCCAGATTGTCGACGATGAGGACCTTGTTGAGCTGAAGAATAACGTTTGTCTCCATTGATTGTAACTGAACCACGCCTTGTCTATTTGTTTTCAGGTTTTCGTTGTTGGCGACGGTGATGACGACGTCACGGTTGAGGCGTCGCTCGTGTTGTACGAAGCGTCCGGAGGAGCACATGTGCTGACCGCAGCAACTGTCCAAGAACCAGGTGTTCCGCCCGGTGGGTTCGGCGTTAGCGACTGCAGCGTATGTCGGGTTGACCTGAAGTCCTTGCGAGCGCGGCGGCGGGAATTCCTCTTCGTCTGGTGCGTAAGTGGGTGGTGAAGCGGGTGCGCAGTTGTCGATGTGTACCATGCAGTTGATGATGTTGGGTGTTTGTTGTGCAGATGTTGAAGAGCGCCTTGGAGGACTTGCTTGAGTGGAAGCGACTTGTGGGTCTGCTGCACGGTAAACGCGAGGGCGGTTGCAGTTGACCTTGGAGTGCCCGGAAGTCTGACAGTTGTGGCAGAACGGCGGCACGATGGTGAGTCCTCGGTTGTCACGTTGATCTTGCTTGCTGCGTCGGTTGTAGTTGTTGTCATTTCTTCTTTGAGTGTAGAAGACTAACTGCTGTTGCTTCCTTGGTTGTCTTTCCTCGAACAGATCCATCTCCTGTTGTTCAGCGTGAAGCTCGGCGCAGAGGTGCATCTCCGAAATTCTTCCGTGGGCTCGAAGAAGTGATCGTGTGGTTCTCCATTCTGGCCCGAGCCCGGCGAGGACAAGTGTCACGAAGCTTTCTTCAGTGATCGTTCCTCCGCACCGAAGCAGGCGGTCGCGGAGGGTCTGGCAGCGACTCATATACTGCATCGCCTTTTCCCCGGTCTTCATCTGTATTGTTGTCAGCTGTTGCATGAGTCTGCTTTGTGTCACGCTGTCGTTTGCTTGATAGAGGCACTTGAGATGATGCCATGCGAGTTCCGCGGAGTTTCCATAACTTCGATACGTTCTGATGCTCTGCTGCTCTTGTGGTGACAGGTTTCTCAGGAGTACCGTATACGCCAGCAGCGACTGATACGTGAAGATTTCTTGTTCCTTCCCAGTGCCGTTGCTTGGGAATGGCAGGGACCCGTTGAAGTATCCCAGAAGATGCGCGGCCTCCATCAGCAGCTCGAACTCGAAGCTCCAGGTAAAGAAGTCGTGTCCGTTGAACGGTGAGGATGTCTGAAGTTTGATCACGTGTGAGAACTGCGCCTGTAAACTTAAGATTTCATTCGGTGTTTGTTGTGAAGCAGCTGCTGTTGGCTGGGCACGGGGCGGCATGAATTCGAACGTCCCCGGCGAAGAATGATAAGGCGCAAAGGTAGGCGCTTGATTGTGTCGCCCGAAGGATGAGTTGTCGAGGCTCATCGGCGCTAATCCCATATTCCCTCCATTGCTCTGTGTTGAGTGCGCAGGTGTCCTTGTCTGCTGCTGCTGATCGAAGTGTGACATGAAGCTGAAGAATCTCTCCATGAGATTCGGGTCCACACTTGAAGAGGGAGACGGGGTCACCATCTCTGGTACTCTTCCCGTTGTTTCTTGAGCAGTCCCGGTCTCTGTCTGCAGTCCTGAGGTGTGCAGACCAGAGTTGCCGTGTTGAGTTTCTTGGGCGCTGGGTGAGCCCGTAGAGACTTTCTTGCCCTTGTTGTCCATGTCTTGTAATCAATGAAGTCGTTGAATTGAGTTGAGTTGCAGGTTGTTGATAGGACGTAGTTGCTGGGAGTTTGGTCTCTGACCAGCTCTCATACCATGTTGGGCTGAAAAAAAAGCCCTTAGGATCTTTTGCAGAGACTAAGTCCCAGCTGTAGAGACTTGAGACTTGGAGTAGTGCAGCGGAAGTTGAGGCAGTTGAACCCTTGTACTAGTATGTGAGAACAAGTGATTGATTAAAGAAACAAGCATACAGCAATATATAGAAGATAAGAAAGCAGTTGTAGAATACAGTTACAGGAACGGTTTATCGAGTCGCACAGCGACTCGATTGCCGCTTCGGTTACCATCCGTGATGTTGTAACGGTCAGTCGCAACCTCCAGTTGCGACCTTTCGAGTCCTTTCGCATTCTTTGTCCGCCCCCTCGTGTAACCTCCGTTGACTCGCGTGCTCCCCTGTAATCTTCCTCGAGTACAGTGTTACACTTCAGAAACGCTTAAGTCCTTGAGATATTTCCAACATGCATGGTAGAGCAATGTGTCATTTAATGTACCTACCAGCAGTTTTGAGCATTTTTTTGTTCACCTTGAACAGCCCATTACAACGACAACATGTTATTGTGCAGCAGCAAGGAAACAAGATTAGATATATATACAAGAGAACAAGGACAGAGAAGCGTTACACACATGCCTACTCTGCAGGACGCCTGTGTTACACAGGTACCCAGATGGCAGAAAGTCTCTCCACAAGTGATTCCAGGGGATGGCACCCATAGCGGCTGCCAGCCAATGTAGCTGGCTTCTCAAGATCAGGATTTAGGTCCGTTGTTGTCACGCCTAATAACCACCATTAGCGTCGCTTCCATGCTACTCCTGCCCTACATTCACGGGCAGAAGCAACATCTCATCAGATGAGGACAAGCTGACTGCTGTTATTGGCCAGCAGGAGCGCCCTAATCCTTCTTCTTGCAGAGAAACACCACTGTAGACACACCAGCTACCGCCACCGCGGCGGCAGCAGCAACAGCGATGGCACCACTTCCCGTCACGAAGCCCGAGTCCCTCTGCCAGCTCAGCCACCCAGCTGAACGAGTCATCTCCTTCTCGGTGGCGAGATTCGCTTCGCCGATTGAAGTTACCCGGTTACAGCTAGACTGCGCCTGCAACCTCTTTGGGCCCAGCGGGCGCGACGAGCAGATCTCCGCGGAACCAGAGCGCAGAGAAGACGAGCAACAGAGATAACTATCCCACTTAGTCGCAGAACCGGGAGACGCGGACAAGCCGGAGAAGGACGAGTCCGCTTTAAGAGACGCGCCGCCGCTGACCTCGCCGCGGACGTCGCTGACGGCGGGGTAAGCGGAGGCGGCGATTGACGTCGACGAATAGGAGCCCGACGAGCAGCTGTGGAAGCTCGCGGACCGGAGCCGATTAACGGCGTCCAGCGTGGACGACGGGCTGTGAGCCACGCCGCCATCGCACTTGGCGAAATCGCAAGGACTGTTACTGGAAGTATTAGACGCTTTAGACGCCTCGCTGCTAGAACGGGAGCTCTGAGCAGAGATGGACTGAGAGGAGGAGGAGAGAGACCGTGTGACTACAGCGGAAATGCAGGAACAGACTTCCGAACCAGCGTCGGAAAGCGCCGAGCCTGAAGCCGAGCCAGAAGTGGGAGGTTCGGAAGAGCCCTCAGGGTCGGCGGAGACGCACCGCATCGAACCGAGACGATCGGCCTGCTCCTCCACCTGCTGCTGCGGCCACATCCCCATTCTCCCCCGCCAAAGCCGCTCCACCACTGCATCTCCCATGACGTGGAGCTCCAAGATGTCTGCCACGTCATCAGGCATGACTTGGCCGTACCAATCGCCCCGCACCTCGCCTGATTGGCCCGCGGACGCAGCGGCCACCAGCGCGGCAAGGGCTTCGGGAGGGAGGTGCTGCCTCCTCGAGCCAGTCAGGAGTCGATCCTCCGACCTCTTCCTTCCACAGTTATTGCAGGACGGCTTGCTCCGTTTGAAGACGGAAACGTTACCGACACAAGCATCCATGCAGAAATTCGGAGACAGATGGCAGCAAGGCCAGACGTGAACGTCGATCAATCCGCGCCGTTCGATCTCCTCCCGAAATCTCGCCACGACTTGAGGACCGATCGCACCGCAGAGGGAATCACGGGTGACGTGGCAGCAGACAAAGATGTGGCATCCGGTAAGGGGTTCTGGCCAGAGCAGACGAGGCTGCTCCTGCACAAGAGCCTCATCCACGAAGCACTCAACATCGAAACGGGTCAACGACCTGCAGGCGAAAACGGAAGGCGAGGAAGCAGGCAAGAAGAAGTGCAAGGGAGATGAAGGTGAGCCAGCATCCCAGTTGAAATGCAGACAAGGTTTGCGGGTCAGAGAGGGAGTACGAGTACGCTGATGGTAGTTATCGCCGGAACTGATGACTAGGAATTAAGCAATCAGTCAAGGCACAATGCTAGTGCATCAATGTCACATGTTCACTAACCTGTAAATCAGCATCTCAGGAAAGACCAAGATATCGCCGTTGTAGGAACCAGGGACGTCCCTCCCTTCACAGACCGTAAACATCGTCTGAAATTATTTGAAAAAACAGGGGAACGTCAAGATACAGTAGAGGAAGCAGAAAGATTAATATCAATTACCAAGGAAAAGATTGTGGTACAATCCTCGGGAGATTGCGATGGAAGCATGACAACGCGACAACATGCAAGCATAAGGTCATAACTGACGTTGCCTCACCTTTCTTTGCATTTCCTCCTCGCGAGCTTTAATATCCGCACGAAGCCTCCTCGGCATGCAGTCCCAATCGAAAGAAAACGGGTTCTCCGGCCAGTTCGCGGGCCCCTTGTGGCACAAGAACACGTGCCGGTCGTGAAACGGCACGCTGCCGACGATGAGGTCGTGAGTCTGGGCGTAGCTTAACGGAACCAAAGAATCTGTACAGCTAGGAGGCGAGGAGAGCGTCGAGCTTTTGGAACTCGCAGAATAGTGCGGATCGGACCAGGAATGTCTGCCTTTCGGCATGCACGCCTGCCTCGACTTGGCATCACAAACGAGGAAATCCATCCCTAGGAAAAGTATACGACACCAGAATTCCGAGGACTAGTGCAGACGGAACTAAACGCGTGAGGACGAACTACCGCTGTGGGTGATCGTGGGATCACCGGTTTGCTTGGACTTGAGGGAGCAAGTCATAGGAAGAGGAGCTTTGGGACTAAACTATATACGGAGGCAGGGGAGGGGTTTCAAGCTTCAACTCTGGGCGCACTAGATTGTGTGGAGAGAAGTGGAGGAGGAGGGGGGAGGGGGGGTGGGGGAAGGGGTCGCCGCGCCGCCAGGAGGAAGCGGAAGACTGGACGGATGGAGGTGAGGAGGAGAGGGTGAGTGGGAGGGGAGATGTGAAGTCCTGTACAGCGGAGACAACGGAGACAACGGCGACAACGGAGAAGAGAGGAAGGACAGGCGGAAAGCAAGAGCCCACCACAAGGACGGGTTGGGGGTTGGGGGGGAACACGGAAGGGTAGAAAAACAATGACGGGTGGGGGGATGGGGGAGTGGGATCGGTTTGGGGGCAGATGGGCAATTCGGGGAGACCAGCTTCTGGGAGACTCATCAAGGGCAGCCGCCAGAATGATGGCGTTTTGGAGCTGATCGTAATCACACCGCATGCGGTCTACGGGGGTTTGGGTTTGGTTCGGAGAGTGTGTGGGGTGGGGAGCGGGTTATACAGACAGAAATCAGACGGTGAAAACAGACGGGCAGGCAGATGGTTTGGGCACGGGTCGGTGGTTCGGTTGGACATGGCTGGAAAGCCTGTGACGGCTGCCTGTGATGTGATCACAGCAAGGGGGCTGAGGCTGTACCCGCCTGTGAGAGAGGGCAGTGCTGCCCTCAGCGGCAGCAACATCACCACCACATCTCAGGCTTGGTGATTGAAGCATGCTCGATTCTCTCGGGCAGCTCGACCGGGAAATCTTGCCCTCTGCCCTCTCCACTCAGGGCATTTCTTGCGTGCTGTCTTGACTTTGCCTGTAAGCTAGGTTCGGCCAAACCTAGCTCAGGGGCAAAATCGGGTGTCATCCGTAGCATGACACGACACAAGAATTGCCCTCATGCATTGCCACTTACGTTTGTGATCTCCTCCACCCCAGCTCCCCACCACTCCCCCACCCCCTCCCCCGAACTCCCCCTCGTGTGCCGCAATCCAATCGTTGCAGCTTCGGCTGCAAGCACGAGGGAAGCAAGCTCGCGGAGATTTGGCGCGGGTTCTGGTGCGGAAAGCACGTCTGCCCTGGCAACTGGTTGCATTTGTGCTCAGAGCGACCGCACTCCCTGCATTGCTGTCAGCAGGAGATTCGTAAGGGCCATGTGGGCCAAGCCTTCCCGGATTTCACTGAGTTACCTGGAAACTTTAGGGCCGCTAATTGGGCACCAGCCTGCCCCCTCGCCTGATCGGGAGGCAACGGATGGCGCAAAAGTGAAACCACCAACTGTGTGGACAGTTCGCGCACAAAGATTTGGTGTGTCACCAAAAGCATGTTTTTTGGAACAGTGACGTTGCTTTGGCTCTTTGTGAGATGGACGCTGCGGCAATGGAACAACCTCCCACAAAAGAGGGTGAGCTGGTGATGTGGCAACTGGCCCTTGGAAATAGGAAAAGCTCCTCACCGCGCGCTCCAATTGGAACAGGCGTGGCACAGAGTGACATGGCAAGATTTTTATTTTTGTGAAGAGGCCGTGGTGCACCACATGTTTTGTGCTCATAGCAGACGGAAAACTTATACACACACTTCTACGCTCCATAACAGCATTGTTAGAAATAAGCCAATTTTGGAATATTTCCGCAAATGTGATCCCACACATACAAAAGAGAACCATATATAAATTGTGGCGCTTTCGTGAGAAGTCCCAAGGTCAACGAGACCCACGGGTTATTGTGTCCCACACCTGCACATTTGTTTTCAACTCACTTTGTCTTGTGCGTTCATATGGGTGAACCAGAGTGGTGAAGATCAGCCAGTCTAGAGTTTAAGGTGTGAGCTACTAAAAGCGCAGCACATAAGTCAGAGGGAGGTGACACGTGTCATAAAGTCACCAGTCCTAACCACTGGGACAAAAGGGATTTCCTCAAGATAGTTAGGACGAATTCCTATAGTTCGTGTCAGACTCGACCTTGCGTCAGACTCGCGACGAACCGAGACGCACCGCATGGAATTGCAAGATCATGCCTGTGCACCGCGCATGACCGCATGAGTCTGACGTGAAGTGGTCTGACGCGAGGTAATAGGAATCCGCCCTTAGGCTCCATATATCCACCTTCCCAAGGGAAAGCCTCCCTCGTACCCTCCCTGGAGAGGGAAGAGGTTCGACAGGGCTATCCCAGTGCCACGACACACCTCCAAGCTGGGATAGCGTGCACACCATATCATAGAGTCACAAGTCCTAACCACCGGGACAATAAGGGATTTCTCTTAGAATAAATCAATGTGTAGAAAGG